TAAAAGTAAACTGTATAATTAAGTTTTTTCATGCAATAAGAATCTGAATGAGTTGTTTAAGAGGCTAGTAGTTGTGTATGACAGACTTTTATAATCATACTCACGTGTATGATAGATAATCAGATGATTAAATTAATTTTATCGTTTGCATTAAAAATTTTATCGATTGCATTAAAAGTATATACTCCGGCATAATAAATCTAACAATGTAATAATGAATAAGTTTGTAGCTCTTGTGGTTACGAATAAAAAAATCTTGAATCCAACTTTTATCTTATACGATTCAAGAAACATATACCTTAAAATGGAAGGCCGCAGCTTTTATATTATTGACGACGACGTAGAAACTTTGTATGAAGAGGATTTAGAGTTATTTATTACGAGGAATATGAAACTGACAGTGTAAATACAGAATTAATTTTATTTATTATTTTGAATTAGAATTTAAATAATTATTTTATTACAATAGGATTTACCTTCAGAAAATGAAGCTTTGAACATTAAAAATGATATAACAGCAATGCATAATATGAATGATGAAAATGCAACAATTTATTTTACAAAAGAATTGACATCGCAAGTTATTCATCATATGTTGACACCTATAGAATATCCTGCTACAAGCCCAGAAGGTGTTGCATATATATTTAATTTAGAGGGTTGGAAAGAACCATTAGTGGCATTTAAAGATGTAAATAATATAATTTAATTTTAAATAATTTTAATAAATTTTTAATTTTTTTATTAAATTTTTTAGATTCAATATTTGATTGGTAAGCCTGGAGGTGAATACAAAGTTATGTGTCCCTATCTTGGTGTTGAAGTCAAATGTGAAATGCGAACTTGTCAAGGCTCCAAGCTTTGTAAATTTGCTACTTCTGAATTTTATAATGATCTTGTATTACAAATTACACAAAAAATCTTATCAAATAATATTGATAATAATACTTTTGAGTAAGTTAGGATTTAGTTAATAATTATAATTAAAAATTAATTAATATTAATTAATTTTTGTAATAGGTTTTATCTTGCAGTTCAAAAATATTATGCAAGTTTAAAAATAATAAAATATCATGTAAAGGAAAACTAGTTCTTCATTGTTTGATACGTCATAATTCATCAGAAGCTAGATATTTTATTGGCTGTACCAAATGGAAATATAATAAAAAAATCATCAATTTATATTTGTTCCTTCAAATATTAATTTGGAACTCTTGCATAATTTGTTTGATAGTACTTATAAGGTAATATATTAATAGTTTATTAAATTTTATAGATTAGTTTTATTTTTTAATAAATTATTTTAATTATATAGTATAATCAAAAAATTTATAATCAACTTATAAATAAGTGTTATATTATATTATTTAACTTATCAAAGAAAAAATATTGTAGTATGAAAAAATATTATAAATATATTATTTTTTAGTAAATTTATATTTATTATATTTTTTAGCATATGTATATCAATTTGAAAATACTATTTGCCCTTGTTCTATTATTAAAAGTTTTGTAAAGTTGAATTTTATAAGCTTACACCATTAAATCTTAAGAAGTATTTATTTGTAATTTTAATATATAAAGGAGTATATATATATTCTCTTTCTCCTTCTATACAAATACCTATAAATATCAAACAAAGACTTCAAACACTTATTCAACAAGCTAATGAAGATTTAACTGATATTACTCAAACAAAAATTATTACAGGTAAAATTATATTAATTAATTTTATATCTAGCAAGCTTTGCTTGGACCTTGTCACCAATTAATATATCATTCTTAGCTACAATAACATACTGGCCATCTACAACTAGAACATACCTCATTGGGATTATATCAATTCTCTTAATCACTTTACAAAACAGTAGGATAACTATATATATACCCCATAAATCAACTATAAACCATGTTAATTTAGTTATGCAATACTTATACAACCTTAATATTCTTATCCAAAAACACAACTACTAGCCTCTTAAACAACTCATTCAGATTCTTATTGCATGAAAAAACTTAATTATACAGTTTACTTTTATAGATAGTAGAGCAAACCATCTACTGTTTCAAAAAATAATGCAATTAGCCACATCTTCACAACAGCACAAAATCCAACTCATACCATATATACTAGACAACAGTAACTTTTATTTGACATAGAACAATATATCAGTAGAACACAAAACTTATCAATTTATATAATATCTACAAAATGCAAAAAACACTGTCAAGTGGTATTTATTTAATAGAACAAACAGCTGGCAAGAGATTCAGCAGAATACAAACTGGGACAGTATACACCAATTTATTAACTATGACAACAAGCCACATACAAGGTTTACACATCCAAAATTATCACAAAAAAGAACTTCAAAATTAAATTTCTATTAGATGAGCTGCCAACACTACTTAATTTATATTATTAATATCCAAAGAAATATACAAACCCAACTTGTAACAGATGCACTCAGGCAATTAAAAACAATACCCACTGGTAAATCTGCTTTTTGAATCCAACATCTCTACATCAACTGATAATAGAGACAGTTACAAAATACGGTTTGAAACAGGACAACTATCTATCAGACTCTGCAATACTAGTAAAAAGTTTCTTCATAAATGGTACAAACACATCTAACTTCTTATTACTAAAAGGATTAATCCCAGAGAATATCCAGACTATCATGTCAATTCACAATAAAATATTTATCAATATCTTATACAAGA